CATAGACTTATTTGTAACCTGCATCAACAATTATGTTATGATAAATTACTTGTTAAACACAACAAAAAACTTACCTTTGTGGAATTGCTTGGAGCAGACTAACGCGAGCTGGAGTGTTCTGGAACATTATATTTGGTCTTCGAATAGCTGCAATCCAGGCCATCTGTTGCCTCTTCGTGACTTTGGAAACATGACTGGAACAATTTTTCTTCTACGAAGGAATCCAATAAAAATCGTTGTCTTTACCCGTCGGTTTCCCATGTCTGTCATGCTACAGATTATGGCAGTTAATAATACAACTGCTTCTTGCCATTCTTTGTGTCTCTGTTTATCTCTGTGTGACTGTTGTCTTGTAATAGCCCATGTGGGCTAGTACCACTTGCACCTACAATCCTTTGTGGTTTTAACCTGGAAATTACATCACGTTTTCAATCTCTATTGGTGCCCCTCAAGGATGTTCCTCTCACCACTATTGTTCTCCCTCTACACTAATGAGTGCACCTCCAAGAGCTTGGCTGTTAAACTCTTAAAGTTTGCAGAAGACACCACCGTCATTGGCCTCATTCAGGATGGTGATGAGTCTGCATACAAGTTCTACACCGCAGTCACTGAGTCTGTCCTGTGCTCCTCCATCACAGTCTGGTATGGCGCAGCCACTAAACAGGACAGGAGCAGACTTCAGCAGACTGTACGGGCATCATCGGTGCCCCCCTGCCATTCATCCAGGACCTGAACCTTTCAAGAACCAGGAAATGGGCAGGGAAAATCATCACAGACCTCTCACACCCTGGACGCAGACTTTTTGATCTGCTGCCCTCTGGCAGACGGTATAGAAGCCTGAAGACCAGGACCACCCGACATAGGAACAGTTTCTTTCCCCTCGCCATCTCCCTCCTAAACAGCTGACCTGTCACACTGCTCCCACTGCCAGACTGCAACTGCACCTTATGTACATTCTGTGGTATTAATTTCACCTCATTTAATTTCTGTCATCTTTGTTACATATTGTTGTGATGTACATTGTTTGAGAGTCACCATCTACTGGAACCAGATTCCTTGTATGTGTCTGCGTATATACATGGCCAATAAACACAATTCTGATTCTGATTAACTAGTGAAGAATCAATAACCAGAGAATCAGCCAACAGGGGAAGTGCCGGAGAGATTTAACCAACGGTGAGCCTCTGAGACTAACGGAAAACAGCTGAAAACGGAAAACAAAAGAAAATTCAAGTATTGATTCTTAATGGAGATAGCAGTGCACAGTTGACAGGTAAAATTATGAGCATGAGGATTTATTTATTTATTTATTTTTAACTTCCCATCCCTCAAATCATGTCCTAGGGAAGACAGCAAGAAACAAGTTAAACATATTTTTATTTGCAGATTGTTGAATTCATGGGATGACACCGCCTGAAATCAAAATGATTGAAAAGGCAGCTAGCACGCAAATTAAGAAAGATATAGACGCAGTCACATGAATGAGAGTCTGAAAATGAGAATGATGGCGAGCACAGATTTAAACCATGCAGAGTAGAGGCTGACTGCCTCAAAGAAGGTGGGTGGACTAGAGTAATGATATCAGTATTGAGACTGACAGCGTGGGAAAGTGGTCGAGATGAAATAGACTTGGAGCCGAACACCCAGGAATGCAGTCAGATGAATGATTACACGTCTTCATTATTGAACTTACGCATAAGGTTCATTTCAATAAGGAGAGATCATTTGTAAGAATTTAACATGATTTTCGATAGAGAAATTAATCAATTTGGTGATTACACTCTGATGACCCATTGTGACAGAAGACACCCCAAAAACTAAGAGCAATGTTACCTTGAGATGTTTGACATTATAGATTGACAACACATGATTTTTCAACTAAAGTAGAAAATTTTCAGATGCATCAGTATTGTTAATAAGTGAGATTAAATTTTCTGACAATTTTGACTTGTTTACATTTAAACTGTCCCGGTTTAAATGTTGGTCAGCTGTAGTTTTAAGAAACTTTATCTTTTCTTTACATCAATACAAAAAGAAAGTGACACATGACCACAAAAGAATGTTACGCTCAACTAACCAGTCACAACTTACATTTCCTTTAATGGAAAAATCTCCTCCTTTCATAACATCCGGCAGTAAGCCTTACTTGATTCTCTTACATCTACAGGTCATCGACAAACATGGGCAGGACGCTTTTTCTTCTCACTGCTCTCTTAGGTATATTATTTAGTTAAATCTGAAAGATTGCATTTGCACTTCATATTTTTCTTTTTGTGTAATAATCGATATTTAGTTTCTGAGTGTTTGAACAATATTGTAACGTTAGTTCTGATGAAATTGTTTAGTTTTTGATCTGATTTTGTGTTTGTCTTTCAGGAGTTGTTTTCTGTAGTCATGGCAAGCTGTCTGGACCAGAGTTAGTGCTAAGAGTCAGACCCGCCGATAACATCACTCTTCACTGCGACTGCCGAAAATCAAGCCGCAATTTCATAGTTTGGTTCAGGAACTGTTCTCATGAGAACCAGCCTTCACTCATTCTGAGGACAAACTACAAATATGATCCATCATACCTTGAGGACAAAGTAGACATTCTCAATCCATTCCCTCGTTTGCATTTATTGGAAAACCAGTCTTCTGACTCCTATGACCTGTTGATCATGAACACTACTGATTCTGATGAGGGTCTCTACTACTGTGGAACTGAACAGAAGGAGATTGACGCAACATTTTCTCAGAAATATATTTACAAATATGGCAACATCACAACCAGGATTCTGTTGAGTAAGTGTTTGAATCTTATTTCTGTTTGAAATAGCTTAAGTTGAGTGAAATTCATTCAAAGAATATAATCTGAATACTCAGAATAAGAACAGCCTCCATAACTTCATCTTGGGGTGTTCAAAGAATATTCTAGCTCTACTATTCATACTGTAAATTGCTCCTGATAAATAACCAATTTCAGTTTATGATTTAATTAAAGAAGTTAAGGCACTTAAAACAAAAGAGCCTAAAGTTATCCACAAAATGAGCTGATTTGGCATTATTTTTTAAATGTAATTGCCAGTGGTCATGTACTATATAGGTCATTTAATTGTTGTTGTTTTTTCTTTTAGTCATTTGAGATCTATATTTATGTATCCACCTATATTTAAAAAATATTATTGCAATTAACACATGGGGAAAAATCTGTATTTTTAAACATGAACCATGAAAATGCATACAAATAAATTATACAAACTAATTATTGCAATTTGTGTTTGAGACAGCCTCCACCGTGACTCGTCATGACATCCACAAACCTCAGGAGGACTGTGGCGTGTGCTGGAAGCTGCTTTTCACTCTGTGTCCTTTTATTGTCGCTCTCTTCTCTCTTTTATCCTCTGTACTGTTTTACCAGCTTCGCCAAAAAATAGGTACCTGCTGTATTTGTAACTTCCATCTGTTCCAGCTGAACAACTTTGTACTTAATTTCCATCCTCAATTTATTGTATTATTGTATTTGTTATGTTCCATCTTTGATGTAAAATTTGTCCTCTCCTCTGTTTTCTGTAGAAAATAATACATCTCAAGATGACATGAAGACAACTGAAAGCCAAAGTCACATAAAGCAGGTAATCACCAGCGGCAGTAATTAACAGACTATCTTGGTGTTACAGTTACAATTTTCATTTTAAGTTACAGAGTGAGGTGGGGGTTTTTTTGGGTTTGCTGTTTACTTACAAACTCTAACAACAATTTTGAAATCTCAGGATGAAGATGTGTGTTATGCTGCCCTGGAAATTCGTCAAGCATCACAGAGACCAAATAAGAAGAAAATTCAAAGTTCAGATTTTAGCACATATTCCTCCATCAATACTTCCCAGATATAAGAACATTCACATTAAAAACAAAAATGATAATACAGCAGTTTTCTACCACATTTAAGATGAAAAGCAGGTGATAGATTTGTCCCTTCTTGTTTAATCAGCTTTTCACACCAACTTTGACATGCTGTTCACAAACTCCTGATTCTATCTTGTTTTCAGTCTCTTTGGCTGAGACTAAATGAAGACCTTTGATGACTTGACATTGTTGTACTGCTTAATAGATTCCTCACAATAGACGCTGATATTTCCAGAAGTAAACTGTGTTGAATTTATAGTGGCATAAAAAGAGAGTACGGTTTGGTTCAAAACTCCATGAAGTAGTATTATGAAGGAAGATTACATATGTAGGAAGGAGTGTTAAGCCTAAATAAAGGAACAGTGCAAAATGTATTTGTGGCATTGTGAGAGAAAAATGTGCATGACTTTAAATGGTGATACAGTAAATGATTGATTGTGTAACTGACTGATGGTAACTGTTTTTGTAATATTGAATAAGAAATCTTATAGTCTATTTGTAGAGAGATTATTCAATGTGTAAAATTAACTTTATTTGTCAAAAACTAACATGAATTTCACATTTCCCTCATTTTGGTGTAATGTCTGACCTGAATGTGCTTCATTAGTATATCAAAATTACTTTATTATATATCATTTGATGTAGTCGAAAGTTTAACATTTTAATAAGAGTCGGTGAAATGATAAGCAGCACTCACAGTCTGCTGAGTGGTAAATTAATGCATTAACTTTGAATTTGCTAAGTGACAGGTTTCTGCAGTATGCATAATTTGCCTTCTTCAGATCACCAGTGCTGTGTTCGCTATTATATTTTTTCTTTATAGATTTCTATTGCCTGTTTCTCTTATAATGTCCCATCTAAAGTAGACGGTATTCAGTCTGTTCATTTTGTGAGCAACAATAGTCAAATACCCCTTTTATGTGAGTATACATAGAGCCTGAAGTTTGGGTTAAAGGTGAAAGTTGATAGCAACCATTTTGATCCCCAGGTTTTATGTTTATTCAAGTCACTTAATGCAAATAAAACCTGGCTGTGGTCAACTTGTATTCATACAATATTAGCATGCCTTAACAAATTAGAGGAGTGCAAAAATTAAGAACTGTAAGGCAAACAATGCAGGCTTTGTGATTTGTCTTAATAATACAAAACAGACTTTGATTCCAAGACCACACTTGCCTCTCGGTTAGTTTTACAGTTGAGTTTGAAATTTCTGGTTTTCTATATTAAAGGATTTGCATGAGTATGTGTCTTTTTATCTCTCTGAATGATGAGTCTGTACATTTTAAAAATTGACTTCTGACATGGTTTATTTAGCTGTTGTTGTTTTTTTAATTCTTTGAAGTTCTGTTTTCCTTTACTGTCATCTTTTATTATGTTTTAAACAGTAAAGAAGCTGTTGTTTTTAAATGTGCTTGCTTATAAATAAAGTGACTTAATTTGACTGTGTTTAAGTAAAGTTCTCTTCTTGTGTTGAAGCCTGCTTGTGATAGGACATGGCATTTGTCCTCATGTGATTTCCTGTTTTTCTTTCTTGCTTTTCTGTAGTCAAGCTCTAGTTATGTATCCTTCAATGCAATAAGTATTACAAAAGGTGTTTGATAAAAATAGATAGCTAAAAGAAGTTACTGGACAATGCAACTATCAACACTTGGCCCAAAGCAAACAGGAAAACCTCAGTGACAAACAGTCCATCATACTCTACAAACTGCAACATGGAGGCAAACTGATGCTAAAATGAGAGATTTTTTAACTTTCTCAACTTGTGATAATCAGGGAATTGAAGAATTAAATCCAACTCTGTTTCATGGAAGTTGGTTACTGTGTTACATACTGTGTAAATGAAAATAATAAAATAATTATTTCTCTCATTTTTGGAGTTTATCTGCTCCAAAACCATGTCAGCTGGGAGACTGTTTTAAGGTCAAGACATCTGATCTAGCACACTGATTCAATACTTATTGGACAGGTCATCCAGGTACACAACGCAGTGGCTACAACGGCTGTTCACGAGCTGTCACTGTCACTCACACTGCAATCTAAATGGTGCAACAAGCAGCCACACCCCCCGTCCCCTTCTGGCTGCCTCTGCCTCAATTTTATCCCACAACTTAGACATTCACATTACTCACACTCTCATTACACATACATATAGGATCTTGGGGGTGGGCACGCTACACGGAATCCAAATTACCATCAGGGTGTACACCTCACCCCTGGCATCGTTGCCCACCTCTCAATTTTAAATACACGTTGACATTGAGGGCTAGCAGGAGGGGCTTTGCGCTTACCTGCTGCTCTCTGCCCTCCTGAGTTTTAAATGCACCTTAGAACACACATACATCAACACTACAATGAGCGGGTGGAGGGAGGTTTGGAGTCTTCTCTCACCCCCGTTCTCTGCGGCCTGCTGGAACGGGGGGCTAGGAGGAGGAGTTGGCCATCCGACTG